CCTCTTAGTAATTTCCTTTTGGGATCTATCCTGTTTGGACTCATGGCATGGCATTGTAGGATCAACACTGGACTGTGAACCATAAGGTCAGCAGTTCAAACCCATCAGCTGCTACTCAGAAACCCTATACAAGGTCACTACGAGTAGGAACTGACTCAAAGGCACATAACAATAACAAAAACAACATCATAAGTGGTTTCCCCTCATGCTATCGCACATAACTCTTAGGTTTGCTTCGGAATTTTTCATTGTTCTTTTCTGAAGTTCTTCTAGCATACTAGCATTAAGAGAGATCTCTTCAAGCTCACTAATTCGGGCTTTCATTGCTTTGCATCTACTCCTTTGTCCTTTCAATGAATTGTCCATTTCGGAGATCTTAGTGTTTCAAAATTTGTATTTATTTTGTCTATTTCTTCTTGTAGTGTTTTCCTGAATTCTACTAAAGTTTTTATTGTGTTCTCCTTGCTTTCCTTGATCTTTCTAGCAATCTTTTGAAGATACCTAATTAACATTCTTTTGAGTTCTTTTTCAGTTAGCGCCATTACTTTTTTTTTCTTTTTTCCCAGAAACATTTCTAGTTCTGCATCTTGGTCATTTGTTTGAGCCATTCTCTCTTGTTTCTTTGTGTGTGCTAAAATGGTCTGTTGTCTCTGGGGTACTGTGGGGTTGTCATATTTATAAAAACAAACAGTGCAGTTTTGGGACCCGGAGGGGAGAGATCTCTGGTGGACTCTTGCAATTCAAGGAGCTCACGAGGTGGATGTGGGAGGGAGGGGACAGCAGAGTTCCTGGCCCTAGGTGGAGTTCCTATTGGCCTCAGTGTTAGCTATGTTCAGGACACTCAATCTGGAAGGAATTCATGGGAGCTTTTGATGGAGTTGGTTTCAGTGTCTGTTAGGACCACAGGGAAGTTGGGGGCAGAGTGACTGGCTAAATACTTATCTGGTGGCTCTGTGCTGCTTTGGTGCCTGGATTGGGGTGGGAGGAGCCCTAGCTCTAGACCAACATTATAAAAAACACTAACAGCTACTCTTTGGACTGAGAATCAGTAATAGCAGACAACAACTTGAGATTACCATACATGACAACACCATTCAGAACTCAATCCAGATATAGAAGTATTAAAAGTAAAACCAATCTACAAGATTGAAAACAAGGAACCAGCGATATCAATTTATAATGAAGTCAATTATAAAGAAAAAAGAAGGAATAATGTAGATAAAGAACTTCCAAATGGCAAGGAATCAAGTAGATTTCAAGACAAAACAGGCTGTTTTAAGAAGGAAAAAAAAAAGTATATATCTAATGTATCTTTATCACCACTTGTCTGTCAGTTTGTCGTACTGTGATGATTGTGTGTTGCTGTGATGCTGGAAGCTATGCCACCGATCTTTCAAAGACCAGCAGGGTCACCCATGGTGGACGGGTTAAAGTTAAGCTTCCAGATGAAAACAGACTAGTAAGGGCCCAGTGATCTTCTAAAAAATATTGGCCAGTGAATGCTTTATGATATCATCTAACAGAACTAAAAGATGAGCCCCTCAGGTTATAAGGCACTCAAAGTACGACTGGGGAAGAACTTCCTCCTCAAAGTAGAGTCAACTTTGATGATGTAGATGGAGTGAAGCTTACGGGAAATTCATCTGCTGATATGGCATGATTCAAAATGAAAAGAAACAGCTGCAAACATCCATCAGAATGTGAATGTACAAAATACAAATCCAGAAAAACTGGAAGTTGTCAAAAATGAAAGGGAATGCTTAGAAAGAGATATCTTAAGCATTAGTGAGCTAAAATGGGCTGGTATTAGCCATTTTGAATTAGATAAACAGATGGTTTACTATGCTGGGAATGAAAAATTGAAGAGGAACAACATCTCATTAATTGTCAAAAAGAACATTTCATGATCTAGCCTGAAATACAATGCTGTCAGTGATTGGATAATATCCATATGCCTACAAAGAAAATCAGTTACTATGACTACTATTCAAATTTATGCATCAACCACCAGTGACAGAGATGAAGCAGTTGAGGAATTCTACCAACTTGTTCAGTCTGAAATAGATCAAATATGCAATCAAGATGAAGAGATAATTACTGGTGATTTGAATGTGAAACTTGGAAACAAAGAAGAAAAATGGATAGTTGTAATGTATGGCCTTGTGATATGAACACCACTGGAGATCACATGATAGAACTTTGAAAGAGACAGGTGATCCAACAGAATGTGAGAAGTAGCAAACAATATCATTAGTGTCACACCAAGTAAAATTTTGCTGAAGACAATTAAAAAATGGTTGCAGTAAGTACACTGAGAGGAAACTTCAAGCCAGAAATTCAAGCCAGATTCAGAAGAGGGTATGGAAAGAAGTCTGTCACTGCTAACACCAGAGGGATCTTGACTGAAAGCAGAGAATACCAGAAAGATTTTACCTGTGTTTCACTGCTGAGGCAAAGGCATTCAACTGTGTAGGTCATAACAAGTTATGGATAACATTTAGAAGAATGGAAATTTCAGAACATTTAATTATGCTCATGAGACATTTAATTGTGATCAAGCAGAACAAGGGGACAGTGTGTGGTTTAAAATTAGGAAAGGTGAGATCAGGATTGTATCACTTCATCATACTTATTCAGTCTATATGACAAGTAAATAATATGAGGAACTGAACTATATGAAGAAGAATATGGCATCAGAATTTGATGGAAACTCATTAACAACCTGTGATAGAAGACGACACAACCTTGCTTGCTGAAAGCCAAGGGAACTTGAAACAAGTATTAATGAAGACAAAAAATCTACAGCCTTTAGTATGGTACATCTGAACATAAAGAAAACAAAAGTCCTCACAACTAGACCAATAAGCAACATCATAATAAACAGAAAGGATTGAAACTGTCAAGGATTTCATTCTACTTGGATCCATAATCAGTGCCCAAGGAAGCAGCAGTCAAGAAAACAAACAACATATTGTATTGCACAAATCTTCTGCAAAAGACCTTTATATGTGAAAAAGCAAAGATAGCACGTTGAGGACTAAGGTGCGACTTACCCAAGCCATGGCATTTTCAAGTGCTTCAACTATGCATGTGAAAGCTGGACAATGAATAAAAAAGACCAAAGAAGAACTGATGCCTTTGAATCATGGTGCTGGTGAAGAATATTGACTATACCAGGGAATGCCAGAAGAACAAACAAATCTGTCTTGGAACAAGTACAATCTGAATGCTCTTTAGAAGTGAGGATGGCAAGACATCATTTTAAGTGCTTTGGGCATGTTATTAGAAGGAGCCAGTCCCTAGAGAAGGACAACAAGCTTGGTAAAGTGGAAGGTCAGCAAACAAGAGGAAACCCCTTAACAAGATGGACTGCCAGTGGCTATAATGATGCGCTCTAACACAGCGACAGTGTAAGGAAGGTATAGGACCCGCAGTGTTTCATTCTGTCTGTGTAGGAACCAACTGGACAGCACCTAACAACAACAAGGTAGCTTTGCATTTTCTTTCGCTGATTTCTACTATTTATTATTTGAGGACGGAATAAACTTTCTTTGGGTTTCCTGTTATGTTTCTAAATTCTTACGTTGTACGTTTAGTCGTCAACGTTCACCCTTATTTTCTAATGAAAGCCTTCAAGGTTATATACATCATATTTTTATAAAAATAACATGTGTGTTGTTTTCTGCCAACTGTGTCCTCCTCTTTAGGAGAAATTTTCATAAGCTAGATATGCTAAAAAAAATTTTTTTAGCAGCAACATGAACACGATTGTTATTTGATAAAAATATTGTATTTCTCTTAAAGTACCACTTTGTCTACATTCCATACGTTTTGTGATGTACTTTCATTATTGTTTAGTTCCAGGTATTTTTTAGATTTTAATTATGCATTCTTCTTTGACCTTTAAGATATTTAGACATGTATTTTCAAATTTCCAAATAAATGGGAATCCAAAATTAATCTTTTGTTATTGATTTCTAGCCCAGCTGCACTGTGATCAGAGAGCCTGAACTATGAGAGTCTGCATCGTCCTTATCATTGTAACATGTGAAACCCTTTCCAAGAACGGGGTTGGCTGAGTCTGTTCTCTGTTGTTTCAATGGATTCTCATGGAAGCTGGCATGTTTGGCAATCTGGGATTGTAAATTCCTATTTTTCTGATCTTAATCTGTGGGAAAGGAGCTCTGGTTGCGTGGTTACGAGTCAGGCTGCTAACCTCAAGGTCAACAGTTTGAAACTACTAGCTGTTCCGAAGAAGAAAGATGAGGCTTTCTGCTCCGGTAAAGGTTTACAGCCTCGGAAACCCTGTACACAGTCGCTATGAGTCAGAACCAACTCCATGGCACATAACTATCACCTCCAATCTGTGGGAATTACCTTTACTGGAACTGTTTTCCTCTGAAGAAGTTTCATATTTGTTTCTGGTGCAACCAAGGGCACTACCAACAGGCTACCAACTCTGGCCCCGAGCAACCTGATCCTTAAAAGATGTGCTGTTAGGTTGCACTATACGAAATTACAAGTTGGGGTCTCAAAAACAGTTGAATTGCAGTACTTTCATATGGTCCAACCTGTACCACCAACTCTGCCCTCACGACAAGCCTGTTATTCTTGTTTGTAAACTGCTTACCTCTCCTAGCTGGGCTTTGATTGAAACATTTGTTTCCTTTATGAGGGGAAAGGTAGTTTTGGAGATTTCTCCAACTTCCTGCAAGGCTTAGCAATTCATTAAAATTTTTATTTTATCCAGTAGATAAACTATTTTGCAGTGGAGAGGAGAGGAGTTTCTTGGAGATGCTGGCCAGCTTCTGGAAGCAGAAATCCCTGGGAAGACATATTTTTCCCAATGAGGAAACCAAGGCTCAAAGAGGTGAGATGACTTACCCAAAGTCACACACAGTTGGCAGGGAGCTAGAACTTGGATCCACATGTAGGGCTCTTCCCATCTCTCTCTGTCCCCCAGAAAGCTGTTTGGGCCTGGGGCTCCACAGCAACCTTACCTGGTGCAGAGGGATGACGAGGAAGGCCCCTCCACCGGCACACTCGGTCACAACTGCGATGAACTGAGGGTTCACCGCACAGAAGTGGTTGTCATGGACACTGCTCGTGATGGGCACTGAGTCGTAGCAATTCTCCTTGCTGGCTGGTTTGCCAAAGACGTGGCGGAACTTGGAGCTCCGGTACTGAGGGTGCCATGACATCTAAGGGAGACAAAACAGGACACGGGATGTGAGACACCTTGGAGTCTAATCTTGAGACTATGTGGACAGGAGTGCGGCTCTGAAAGGGGACCCAGAAAACAGCCTGTAGTTGTGCCTATTTCTACAGTCCGGGTGAGACGTGGTGGGGATGGCGCATAATTATCGCTCGTCCATTGGCTGATGCTTTGAGGCTTTTTATCTCTTCAAGTTTAAGCACAAAAAGGCAGAGAACTGCCAAGAGAATCCCCACAGACTCTCCCTCCTCACTGCTCACCAGACAGCCAAATCCCCTCACCCCCAACTAAAGGGCTCACGGTGTGTTCTCTGGGGTCAGCCTGCCTGGGCTCAGATTCCAACTCTGCCTCTTGTCAGCTGTGTGGGCCAGTGATTTACCATCAGCAGCCTCACTTCCCTCATCTGTACAATGAGGCTACCAGGAGGATCTGTCTCACAGACATTAAATGATACACTTTGATCTCACAGCACGAGGCAGACACTTGATAAACAGTAGCAATGACTTGACCTTCCATCTATCACCATGCAGTGTTGCTTATGTTTGTTCAAACTTTACCAGTCATCACTGTGGGACTAGGCCCTGTGCTAGGCACTGGGAGCTCAGAACGGGTAAACCTCTGCCCAGCCCTTACAGAAGCACAGTCATATGGGTAAGGACACTAGGGAGTGTGGGTCATTGGGACCCAGTATATTATGGGTAATAATGAGGCTTGAACATGGCAGTCAGAGGAACAGCCTAGATCATGGGTGGAAATGATGTATCTTGCTTCCAAGATAAAGCATTAAGATCTGCCGGTGTCCCTTCAGCTGAAGGGATAAGAAGGCCACATTTTTCATAAACTACCAGGTGGTGGGGCCCCCACTGCCTTGGGGGACTGTGTGGAGCAGAGCACCTCTTTGAACAGATGCACAGTGTGATGGAGAAACAAAGGTATAGAGTGAGCCGCTGGGAGAGTGGGGTTATTCGTCAGAGCACAGCCTACCTATCCGGACACTGCCCCATCAGGTTCCTGTTGGCTCCAACCAATGGTCCCTAGCCAATGGCTATGCTGGGGTGCCAGAATCTACTTTAAGATGAATTTCTCTGTCTGCTGTGTACAGGGATGTGAGGCAATGGTCACCTGACAGGAGCAGGGCAGTGGGGATGGAGCAGAAGGGACAAGTTAGTCAAATTCCAAAGAGGGGGATCTGCTAGACTTGGTGCCAGGCTGTGGAGCAAGGGAGCCGGTCATGGCCACTGAAGTCAACCTGACCTTATCTTACATCCTGGTCCTCTGGCCATACCCAGCACCTGTGGGGGCACCCTGGACTTTGCCCAACACCTGAGGGCCAGCTCTGGCAGGGTCAGGAGGCTGAGCAACAACACATCTCCAATTACAGCTGTCCCCATGGCAGTAAGGCCTCTCAGCTTTTGAGAGCTTGCTATGTGCCAGGCACCATTCCAAATGCTTTCCAGGTAGGAACTGAATGTTGAATAGGGAGGTGCTCCCTGGGTCCCCATTAAAGATGCAGGGAGTGAGGCAGAGAAGGGACCTGTCTGGGGGTCCCAGAGTTAAGTGCCTGCAGATTACATGGAAACCCTGAGAGGAAGGAATCATTATCATCCCTACAGAAAATGAGGCCCAGGGAAGCTATGCTCTGGCTGGATGCCTCAGGCAGGGAGCTGCTGGCCTCAGAGTGGAGCAGCAGAGGCAGCTAATACCAGTGGCCTTCTGCCCTGTCCCTCCCCCACACTCTCCTCTCCTTGCCCCACCCCAGCACTTTATCTCCATTGCCAAGGTTCTTCCAGACCCACTGCCATGGAAGGAAATTATACAAGGGGGTGGGGCGGCACTAAGCAAGGCCACCTCTCCTTTTGTTCAGGTTCTGAAAGTTTGCATATACGTGCAAAGGTGGAGCTTGTGCAAACATGTCAGCCATAGGTACATTGTGTGCCTTTGAATGTGTGCATGTCTGTGCATGACGGCGGCATCGTTGGTGGGCACGTGTGCCCCGTACCTCTGATGGGCATGCATGCATGCATGTATGTTTGTGCATGTGTGCTGTATCTGTATTTGAGAGCATGCACATGTGTGTTCACAGGCGTGTGAGTTGAATGACTCAGCAGTCAGGGAGCAGCCGTTTTCTTCTCCCCACGAGCAGGCACTTGCCTGGAAATGTGGATGGCAGCAGCCTGGGCACCGTGAGGCCCTCGCCCATGGGCTGGGCCAGGTTCATCTGTGTCACTTGTCCCATCCTGCCCCTTCCCATCAGATGAGACCACATCAAAGTCGCAGCCGGGCTTCTGAGGTGTGGCACTCAGGCCAGGTTCGGTGTACCCAGCATGGGTAGCATTGTTTCTGTTGCTTCTATCCCAAGCATGTTAGCAGCCCTGAGGCCCTGGGATTAGGCTCCAAGGATTGGAAATTCCCTGCCTCCAAAAAGGATTTAGTCATCTCTGGGTTCAACATCCCACTGAACTAATTCCTTACGTGACAGTGGAACCGTATACTGTCTTGCCTGTCCCTTACAACTCAGCAGTGTGGTGGGTGGGTGTCCCATCTCCAAATGATGAAGGAGAAAACAGAGGCGCAGGGGAAGTGACTTGACAAAGATCATATTGGTCTGTGAGCAGTGGTGGGTGGGGTGGGGTGGGGGGAAACAGCACTGAGAACAGATTTTCCCTGCTATGCCCTGTGCTCCTGTGTGTGTGTATGAGAGAGGGAAAGACAGAGTGTGTGTGTTTATGTATGAGAGCAAGACAGAGAGAAGAGAGCTGGAGGCTTGGTGGCTATGTGGCCCCAAAGGCTTCTCTTGCCTAGCCATGAATCATTGAGGGACAAGGATTAGCTGCAGGGTGGCTGAAAATGAACCCCAACGGGGTGTGGCACAAACCAGAAGAGCAGATGATTCATGAATTGTCCCTGGCCTCAGGGAAAGAATGAAAATACTTGATTTGTTCTTTGAACCGCTGTGAGGGTGGGGAGCCTGCCATAGCTGGCTGCCCTCCTCCGTTTGTAAATTTGTGGATCCACATCTAATATTGGCAGGTTTATTTTTTCCTCTCTCCCTTAAATCCTGATCTTGTGGGCACAGTAAGCCACACATAAGTGCCCTGTGAGAAGGTTGGAACAAACAGACTTACACCATGAACATAGCAGAGGGAAGTTAGAACCACACATTTCCCAGATGTTAAAAAAAAAAAAAAAAAAAGAAGAGGCCTGCAATTATTGAAATGAAACGAAGTATATGATTCGTTGAATGTGAAACTGACGACCTGCTTTTTACACCTTCACTAACAAGGAAACCCTATACAAGGTCCTTATGGGCCGGAATTGACTCAACCTATGACCCTAACAACAACAGCAATTCACAATTAAAAGTTAAAAAAATAACTCCTCATAAGGCTATCCAGACCTCCTCTAAAATAGAAAAATAATTACCGCTAAAACAGTGAGAGTAAAGAACACTTTCTTTGAAGGTGAAACACAGACCAAGAACAAACACAAGGAACATCTAATTATGGGTGGTTCCCTTACTCTCTGCTCCTTGACGAACTATTTATCTACCGTCCTGGCCTCTGCCCCAAACTTTACGAGAAAGTTCCTTTCTAATTCTCATGAATCCTTATCAGGGTCTTGGGTGGTGGGTGTTGTTGTTGTTGTTATTAAGTACCGTCAAGTCTGTTCTGACTCACAATGACCCTGTATAGGGTTTCTGAGGAGCCGCTGGTGGGTTTGAACTGCTGAACTTCTGGTTAGTAGTCTAGAGCTACAGTGCCACACCAGAATTCTTTGTTGTTGTTGTTGTTAAGTGCTGTTGAGTCAGTTCCAACTCAAAATGACCCTGTATAGGGTTTCCAAGGAACAGCTGGTGGGTTTGAACTGCTGACCTTGTGGTTCAAACCGACCTTGTGGTCCAGTGGTGGGGTGGAATATTGGGCTTGGGAATCCAAGGCTCATTTGGGGGTCAAGGCCCCTGCTGTCAACACAGGTTTCTGTTGAACCAGTGATTTCCCATGGAGGCTTCCTTTCTCACTAGGTAGAAATTAAGCCCACAGATCTCTGCTGATTCTCTAGGCCCTGGTGATGAAGATTTTAACATCTCAGCTGTAACCGGAAAGGTGGGCTGTTCAAGTCCACACAGAAGCCCCTCAGAACAGACCGACTTCCGAAAAAATCAGCCACTGAAAACCCTACTGGAGCACAGTTCTATCTGACACACACGGGTTTCTTCAGTCAGATTTTACTCGACAACACCTGGTTACGGGTTTTCTTCCAAGAGCTTTATCCACAACTGTTGTTGAGTCTGACCCATGGCAACCATAACAGAGAGAAAGGTTGCTGCGTCCTGCATCATCTTCATCACGTTTGATTCCATTGTTTGGTGACTGTGTTAATCCATCTCATTGAGGGTTTCCTCATTGTTGTCTGGCTTCTACCAATGGTTCTTTTCTGATGAGTAGTCCAAAGTAGGGGTCTTAGTGTGGTGCTGTAGGATAAGCACTAAGATCACAAGGTTGATTTGAATCACTAATTCGGTAGGTAGTTCAAACCCTCCAGTCAGTCACTCCTTGAAAATCCTATGCCAGATGTCTCCACGAGTTGGAAACAATGCAATGACACTTAGCAATAACAACTGTCCAAAGTAAGCCAGCTGCTGTCTTACCATCCTAACTTCTAAGGAACATTCTATTTCTTTCTTCAAATCTATTAGAGTTTGACTTATATATTTTGAGGCTCTATCGTTGGGAATATAGATATTTATTATGGTAATGTTCTCTTGTTCAGTTAATCCTTTCGTCTTGAGATAATGTCCTTTTTTCTTTCTTATGCTGGTTTTTGTCTTAAATTTTATTTTATCAGAGATTAAAATTGCCACTCCTGCTCATTTTGACTGCAATTAATTTATATATATATTTTCCATTCTTCAATTTTTAATCTGCAAATGTCTTTGTGTATAAGACATGTGCCCTGTAGAAAGCACACCGAAGAATCCTGTTTTCT